TCCGGCGGCTCTCCAAAGCCCCGGGCCGAGGGAAGAGGGGGAAGCTTTGGGACGCTGAGCACCTGCCAGTTTAGCCCCGGCGCTCAGACACGACTACCCATTACCAGGAGAAGCACGAGTTCTGTCCTACGAACGGACCACAGCCTCAGCGTCCGGTCCTGGGCGGCCGAGAGCAGCCAGGCACCACTGTGGCTCCAGGACACGCAGCTCACGGCTCCGTCATGGCCTGGGGACACCGAGAGAGGGCAGCCACGGCAGGGCTGTTAGGACGGTGCTCGTCCTCTCACTGCCATCAGCCTTGGATTGCATCTCCCGGCACACACCTGCACCCGCCTCTGTCCAAGCGACAGATGGCATGCCGAGCCACGTCCTGGCTGTGGTGACACTGGAAGACCAGCGCCAGGGGCAGGGCAATGCCCACGTAAGGGCTGCACATGGTTTCCGAAGGCACTTTCCTGAAAGCTCGCGTTCCCTAGAACATGGAATCCAGGCAGTCACACCCTGGCAGTCACATGCGCGTTGTCCCCACAGCTGCCTGTGCAGACGCAGCCCTGGGCGGGAGGCTTATGTACATGCACACGTGTGCCCCAGGCCTTTTCCTACGTGAGTTTGTAGCCAAAGGGTCTGGGACTTGAACTGTGGTCAGCCATGTGGGAGTGCAGGGCCTTAACCACCATGCCAAACGCTAGCCCCGCTGGACCCCGATTTCTGACGGGGAGAGGAAAGCCTAAAGCTCAGATGTGACACCACTCTGTGAACCCAGCGGCATCCCCGGGGCCTCGGCTGGGCTGCATTGCCTGCTGCCCTCGGCGAGCTCTAACTTGTGCTGTTTATCCTGGATCTCGATGGAAATGAGAAACCTCTCCTCCTGGTCTCAGTAGGTACTGTGAGCCCACCGTGTTTCAGAACGGATCACGTGAACGCTAACCCACCGCAGGTGAAGCGGAAGCGCAAGCTAGGACAGGCAGAGCGGCCCCCCCCCCCGCAGGGTGGAGCAAGCTCTACAAAGACAGGCTCCTCTGCGTCTCCCTAACTAGTGAGAAGCCCTTTTCCAACAGTGAATACATGGGAACGCCCCAGCCAGCCTAGCCACCACTGGGCCACTGCCCACCACAGCAGTGCACACCGCACTCGGGCTCCCAGCCCGGGCACCGTGTGCCAGGAGCCCCGCAGCACAGGGTGGGCCTGGGGATGCCATGGGCCAGAGGCAGGCCCCTTCTCCCAGGAGTTCAGGCTGCACCTACCCTGCCCCAGGCTCCCCCAGGGACCAGGAGGAGCCCAGAACCCAGCACTCAGCAGGCAGTGGGTCAGACGGCCATGCCTGGCTCACACGGCCTCCTACGCAGACGCCATCCAGACGCCGACCGCCCCCGGTCCCCAGCCTCCCTCCTCACAACCTGGGACGGGGCAGTCTGCAGCGCAGTCAAGGCGAGACGCCGTGACAACTCAGGACTCGGGGAGGAGGGCTCTGTTTCACGGGAGCCCAGGGTAGAAAGCGAACAGTGGCAGAAACGTAGCGAGGCGTGGTCAGGCTTTGCGGTTTTAGAAGGGGAATGGATGTGCCAGTCACAGCATCGAGAGGGTGGAGATCAAGCACCGTTGCTCTCTTCCTGATGTGCCTCACACCCACCCATCTCCCGAGAGAGGAAGACGAGGACCCTCCGCAGGGTCCCCCCGGCCAGGCAGGCTCGTGGGCACAGGCGCCTGCTCGGTGTGACCGGGCTGGCCAGAAACCAGCCCGTCTTCCTGGGGCCTCCAGCTCGCAGAGCCTGCTGCCTGGAGGGCCTCACACCTTCCTTCTTAGGACCCCCGGCCTTGTGACGTCCATAAACCACAGGCACCCATGTGAGACCCAGTCTCACCCACTCCCTAAAGCTCTGGGATGCTTGGCCTTGGCCTTAGGGACAATGGCCACAGAGTGGTCCTGACCTTGGTCCCTTTGGGCACGTCCACCTGCCTGCTCCAGGGGCTCCCCGCGCGTCACAGCTGGCCACTCTGCCCCACCAAGCCGGCCCCGCCCTGCTGCTGTCAGGACGGGGACAAAAGCGACACTTAGCTGGCAGCCCGGACCAGAATAAGACCCACCCTTGAGGTGAGTCGATCAGAACTAAGACACGTTTTTACCTGCAAAAGCAGCAGGCGTCCCGGTGAGGCCAGCGTCGAAGACCAGCAGCAAGTGATTAGCTAAGCCACAGGCCAGTCGCCGTCCGTCTCCTGTACCAGAGAGACGAGAGACGCACCCTACAAACGCCGACCTCAGGCATCAAGATGACCGCTAACTCCACGTCCGCCCTCCTGGCAGTGAGACGTCCGAGACCACAGTGACACGGCTGACCCCCGTCCGAATCCAGGCCCCCATGCATGAGGGCACAGCCGGGCTCCCGTCCCATTGGGAATGTGCCGCTAGGCTCCCTGTGATCACAGAGCCTCTGCAGCTGCTGTCACCCCACCCAGCTCACCGAGGACGAGGGAAGGGCTAGAGAGCGGGGCACCCGCCCCAGGTCACAGGGCTGGCAGACGGAGCTGGAGCCCCGAAGGCACCTGCCTGGGCTGCCCCAGCAAACGCGCGAGTTCCCACCACGTGCTGGCCGCTGTCAAACAGGCGTGTCCGGCCAGGCAGGCACGCTTAAACGCTGTCTGAGCAGGGCAGACGGGGGTTGCCTCTGTCGCGCAAGTGCTCAGGCTGCGGCCTGCAGCTCCCGACGTCCTAACCCAGAGACGCCAGCATGCAGGGCCTCCAAGATGGCTTCTGTGCACCCATTACTAGCTCCCAGGGCACCGGAAGCGTCCTTGGGAGAGAATGACACAAAACCAAGGGAGTTCAGCAAGGAGGGCGTGCCGGCAGCCCGGGACACATGTTCAGAGCCTTGGGCAGAGGCAAAGGACAGGCCGCTGCAGGGAGCCCTGGCACAGGCTGGCCCCGTGGTGTCCCGGACGAAGGCCGAGGCACGCCAGCCGTGAGGGCTCTCCGTTCCGAGCCACGTCTCAACAGCGTGTCCCAGACACGACAGCACCATGTGACCAGGGAGCCGAGACCCTGAGGACGCACCTCAGACAGTGGGGGAGAGGACGGCCCACAGCGCGTACCTGAGAACTGAAGGCAGCCCACGGCGGTGGGGGCCCCAGCCACAGCCACCTGCCTGTGGAGCCTGGTGGGCGGAGGGTTCTGCAGAGGGTACTCCTTCCTGAGGGTCAGGACAGGGAGCAGAGCTGGAGCCAGCGCCCTGCGCAAGGTACGGCCCGGCTGTCGGCCTCGGCGCACCCGGCCCAGCCATCGGCCTGGCGCACCCGCCAACTCGTGGACGGTCACGTTCCACATTGGGAAGGGGCTCTCCGAGGACAGACAGCCGGTTCACAGTGCAGACACTGCCCTGGACCACCGGTGGGGAGGGGCCACCGCGCCATCTCGGCCATCTGGGATGCGCTCCTACCGCACCCTCGGCAGGAGACCGGCAGCGTGGGCCGGGCAGAGCCCCTGGGGGCTGCACTGCAGGGCAGGACCTCCCCCTCCACCCGAGACCCCCAAGAGCCAGGAGTTCAGGTTCAGGGCAAGCGAGAGAGCAGCTCCCAGAGGACTGTGGGGACTCAGCCCCGGAGGGCTGCCACTCAGGGCACAGTGCCCGGTGGCCTGCACGGGGCCCCTCCGAGATCAGGGCCCCTCTGAGGCTACGGCCCCTGGAGCCAAGCTGGGCCAGAACCCAGCAGCTGCACTGCGCCACCCTCTGGGGACCTCGGACTGCACTGGGCGGAGGGCGCCCGCTGGGCCTCCCCGACCATGGGGCAGCCGGGTGCCTCGGCGGGGCAGCAGCACGCCTGGGAAACTGCCAGAGAGGCCAAGGGGGCTAAATGCACCTGGGGCGGGCAGCGGTCTGCGTGCACCCCACACAGCACAGCGCCCGGGAGCCAGGGAAGTGCACAGTGGTTGCCACGTGCCCCGGGAGCACATGACGACCTACCGCCTGGTTCCGGCTCTGCGTTGGGGGGGGCTCTGGCCGTTACCGCTGCTGCTGGTCTTTGGTGAAAACATGGTCGCACTGTGGAGACGGCTCTTGTCACTCAGACGCCGCATGGGACCACACACGTGTGCGGCACGTGCTCTCGGCAGCCCCCACGCCACCCCCGCCCTGGCCTGTGCCCCGCGCCCGGCTGTCCTCGGGTCATTGCGGACACGCCCACCCCAGCAGCCTGGTTAAAACCCTGGACGCTGCCCTGTGCTCCTCCTGCCAGGTTCAAAGCCCAGGCTGGTGCTCAGGGCCACCCTGGTCTGAGCTCGCCTGGCCCCTGGGCTCCCACAGCCCACACCACCTGCCTGAATACAGAGCCCCAGGAGCCACGCCTCACCTCGGGGCTCAGAGCCAGGCCAACTCGGGCTCATGTGAAATCACTGAGGCCCTGACCCAGAATTCAACCACCTGCTGCTCAGACACCGTCCTGCCACTCATCCCTGCAACACGCCCTGTCCTCGGGATGGCCAGCCACTGGAGACGGAGGGGGCACCCTGGCATGAACAGGAGGGAGGGTCGTGCAGGGACCTGGGGAGGTGGCGGGCAGACAGAAGGGCCAACAGGGGCTGGGTGGCCAGGGGCACGTGGGGTCCCTGTTCTGGGGGGCAGCCCTGCCCACGTGAGCAGAGGACCCTGACACGCCCGTGGGAAGCCCGGCTTGTGGGGCTCTCTCCCAGCACCGAGCTGCCTCCTGTGCCCTGGTCTTGTCCCCCCGGTGTGACGTGCTCCCCCAGGCCCTAGCAGGCAGTGCTGTGCTCAACAGGTCAGCAGGGGCTGGCCGCCTGTGGCCATGGGAGCCAACCTGGACTCCCCGCCTCCGTGGTACGGCACTGTCAGCCAGGACCCAAGGCTGCCCTGACGCCACTTCACTCCGCACTTGAGAGTGTTCGGCCCTGCCTGCCCTCCCGGCAGACAGTCCTCGCCACCCACCACTCCCCACCCACGGCCTCACCGCGCCCTCACCCACACCATGGCCACCCCCCAGTACACCCACATCACGTTTATGTCCCACCCACACGCCACGCCCCCAGGCCCCGCGTGCCCAAGTCCCGCCCACGTCACAGCCCAGCCCTGTCTCCCCACAGCTGCTCTGAGGCACCTGTCCTTCCCCGCTCTACTCACCGCGGGGCCGACATGTACCCCGATGACCTGACTGTGCTGTGGAACACCAGGGGCTGGTCCTGCACGGCACGTCCCGCGGCTGCACACACATGACGTGGCACTGCAGCAGAGACAACAACTCGGTCTCAGTGTGGACGGAGCCCACATAGACGAGGTGAGATTCTGACCCGGAACCTGAAAGCCTGGGACTCAGTGCGCACCGGGTGCCAGGTGCCCCACCCATCTCACTAGGACCGCTCACGAAGGCGCCCGCTCTGCCCGGGGTCCTCAGCTCCGAAGCCTGTGTGGCCTCTGCCAAGTGCCAGCTGCTGCCCTCGGAGCTCTTCTGCTCGCTGGCCTCAGGTGACAGCACGGAAGAAGCGAAGCTGCTGGCATGGCACTCTGACGGCGAACATGCCGCCCTGTGTCCACGTGGCCTGCTGGTCAGCACACCTGGGCACCACACCTGACTGCGGGCACTCCCAGGCAAAATAGTCTGCCCAGAACTATTTATTTTATGAAAATATAATACTTTGTGTTCAACATGGGTATGATGTCCACATTATGAAACAGCTTTAGAAGATGAATTAGAGAATATTGAGCAATACCAAAACTCAGTTTGGGGCGCTGTCTCAGGCCTGCTGACCTGAGCCATGTTCCACTAGCCCAGGGGCCCCAGGAGCCCTCGGGGACAGGATTCAGGGACCTCTGCCTGATCGAAGCACTGGAGGCCACAGGAGCAGGCCGCAGGCCCTGCTGTGCTGGGCGTCCCACCCCAGCTCACAGACCCCAGAGTCCAAGCCTGGAGAGGGAGCAGGCCCGGGGGGAAGCCACCAGGCAGAGCTGGGCCCTCAGGTGGAGGGGTTAGGACTGTGCCTGCCGCCAGGGCACAAGACACCCCTGTCCCAGCCGCGGTGGCAGGGGAAGGAGGAAGCGTCTCCCACACAGAAAACAGCCCGGCAGGAGGACACCTCCCGGGAGCGGTCAGAGGTGGCAGACACTCATGCTGCGTTGTGAGAAGCCTCGAAGCATGAGACGAGGCTCGCGCGCTGGCCCAGCGTGGCCCCACGAGGTGCTTCACGCATTAACGCAGCAGCGCCTCTCAGCGGCACTGTCTGCTCGCATCGTCCCTCTTCCGTTCTGTGAGTAAAAGGGTGCAGGAGCTGATAGAGCATCACTATGAATCAGCCACGTCCTTGAGTGTCCACGTGAACATTTTCTTCCTTTTTTTTAGAGGTCTTTGCCTTAGAAGGTGTGTGCTCACTGGAGAGAGAGAGTGAGGCAGAGACAGTGAGAGGGAGCGTGAGAGATCATCCCTCGGGGGATGGCCACACCACGATCCTGCTCCTCCAGTCTCCCCTCGGGACCCTCAGCACACTCACACACTCGCCCGGTGTGAGTTTCAAGCCCCCAGGTCCAGCACTCGAACCGCAGTCGGCCATGCAGGAGTCTGTAGCTGCTATGCCATTTGCTGCCCCACGTTGTGAATGTTTTCTGAATATAAAAAGTATTGACATTAAAATGTCATAAAAATGTCTTTGAGGAAAAGGATTGCTCTTTCATTGGGCTGAAAAAAAAAACACAAATGGTGCACCACTGGAGTGAGCAGACCATGTCAGCCACGGGAGGCCACGGCAGACACGCCACAGCAGACACGCCACCGCAGACATGCCTGGCAAGGACGCAGAGGTGGCCCGCACTCCTCACAGCCTCCCTGTGAGCTTCAGCTGCACAGGGGTGGGGCCGTGTCTGCGTGTGCGCGGCTGCCGTGCGGTCAATGTGCTCACTCGACGTGTGCCGTGTCTGCGTATGTATGTGTGTCGTGCAGTCGACACGGTCACCCGACGTGTGCCATGTCTGCGTGTGCGTGGCTGCCGTGCAGTCAACGTGGTCACCCAACGTGTGCCGTGTCTGCGTGTGCGCAGCTGCCGTGCAGTCGACGCAGTCACCCAACGTGTGCTCTGTCTGCGTGTGCACTGCTGCCGTGCGGTCAATGTGCTCACCTGACTTGTGCCGTGTCTGCGTGTGTATGTGTGTCGTGTGGTCAACACGGACACCCGACTTGTGCCATGTCTGCGTGTGCGTGGCTGCCGTGCAGTCAACGTGGTCACCCAACGTGTGCCGTGTCTGCGTGTGCGCAGCTGCCGTGCGGTCAATGTGCTCACCTGACTTGTGCCGTGTCTGCGTGTGTATGTGTGTCGTGTGGTCAACACGGACACCCGACTTGTGCCATGTCGGCGGGTGCGTGGCTGCCGTGCAGTCAACGTGGTCACCCAACGTGTGCCGTGTCTGCGTGTGCGCAGCTGCCGTGCGGTCAATGTGCTCACCTGACTTGTGCCGTGTCTGCGTGTGTATGTGTGTCGTGTGGTCAACACGGTCACCCGACGTGTGCCATGTCTGTGTGTGCGTGGCTGCCATGCAGTCGACGCAGTCACCCAATGTGTGCTCTGTCTGTGTGTGCGCTGCTGCCGTGAGATCAACATGGTCACCCGACGTGTGCCGTGTCTATGTGTACGCGGCTGCTGTGAGGTCAACACAGTCCCCACAGAAGTGGCCATCTAAGTGGTCCATGGCCACATTTAAAAAGCTGGGTCTGAAGTGAAAGATCTCCCACAGGGCGACAGCAGCCCGCAGGTCTGCTCTGCACAGAGCCTCAGGGGCACGGGTGGTAAAATGGCAACGCGAGTGTGCATTTGCTCTGGCCTGTGGCAGGAGCGGCTGTGAACGGCGCTTTCCAGCCCAGGCCCGCACGCTGGCCCTGCCGCCCTTGTGCAGAACACCAGTTCCAGACCCGCTCACCCTCCTCATGAGGCCTTCGCGCCACCCACAGAAAACACACGTCATGGGAAAACACATGGGCCCTCATTGTTTTGCACCAAAACAAACCTGGCCTTTAATTCTGCTTCCCACAAATGTGCCAAGGTCCCTCGACCTGCTGCTTCATCCTCGCCTGTCCACGCGTCCTGTCACCCCCTCGCCCACCTGCCAGCTGCAGCTCTGCGCTTTAGCTCCACGTATCTGACTTTTTAGATTCTATGTGTAAATGACCCACAGTGTCCTGGGTCTGGTGTACCTCACTCAGAGCACGCTCCAGGCCACCCCTATCGTGGCAGACAGCAGGCCTGCGTCGGTCACGAGCCGGGTACACTTGGCTGTACGCACACACCACTTCTCCACCCGTACTGTGGCGGACACGCAGGCCGTCCCGTCTCGTGGCTGTGAGTAATGCTGCAGCGAACACGGGCACGCGGATGCCAGCACGAGGTGGACACCTGCCCTGAGAGGGCATGCCGGCTCACCGACAGGCTACTCACCTGCTCAGAAAGCCCACACTGCTTCCCACCCGCAGGGCAAGGGCTCTTTCCTCCACCCTGCCGCACTCATGCCCATCCCCAGCGTGGCGTGGCCCCGCCCTGGCCCGTGATGTGAGTGCCTCTCCACGGACCGTGGGCCACGTCTCGCCTTCCGTCCGGCTCTCTGGCTGGCTCTCCACGGGGTCGTGCTGAGTGCTGTTGAGTCACACGTGTTCCCTTCGCACCTTGGAGGCTGAACCCCCCCCTGCAGGCCGGTGCTTGCTGCCCGCCCCCCCCCGGGGGGCCGAAGCACCGTGTCGGGGCGGTCCTCCACCTCTGCCTGGCAGCCTGCACTTCGGGGAGATACCCAAAAGGCCACGCCAAGGCCGGCATCAAGGAGCTGCCCTCGATTTTCTACTTCTATGTTTCTGGTGTTACGTCTACATCTCCTTCGAGTTGGATTTTGTGTAACGTGAGCTCTAATTCCATTCTTTCGCATGTGGAAATCCAGTCTCCCCAGCACCACCGACCCACGGAACTGCCCTCCCCTGGGGGCTCCATGGCGTCCCTGATAAAGTCAGTTGACTGGAACCAGGTGGCGGCACCGTGGGGACACAGCTGGAGCTGGAGGAAGAGGTCCCGGGCTCGTGTTCTCAGACCTGCCTGGCATGCCGGCACACCCTCACGCCATGAGCCAGGCCAGCTAGGACAGGGCCGATCGCAGTGGGGGCCCTGCTAGGGTTCCCCCTTTCTCCAGAGAAGCACACGTCTAAGCTAGCCAAGCACGTGTGTCAGGTCACGCCCGTTCTGTGACCAGCCTGCAGGCCTGCTCTGTGCCAGGGCCACGCTGCACGGTCGCCATGGCTCCGTGACGGAGCCCAGCGTCAGCGCGTGCGATGTCTCGACTTTCTTTCTCTGTATTGTTCTCTCTGTTCTAACTCTTTCATGAGTCCATGTGAATTTGGGGATAAACTATTGTGTTTCTGTGAAAAAGTGGACTTTTCTTAGTGCTGCCCTGACTCTGTACACTGCTTTGGGCTATATGGACAGATTAGCAAAACGAATTCTCCCAGTCAGTGGACAGGAGCGACATTTCTGTTTTTAAAAGAGCCATTTATTTCATTTTTTATCATTATTTTTTAATTTGCTACGAGGCATGTGCAGTCACAAGAGAGAGACGGAGAGAGAGGGCAAGTGGCACAGAAGCTGCCAGATCTAGGGCTTGAACCAGTCCGCCTAACCACCGCGTCCCCACTGGCCCTGGCACATCTCCATTTGTCTGGGTGCTCTCCAGTCTCCTGGTTCTATCACTTCCAGCATGCAGCTCTCTCACCTCTTCGTCTAGATCTATCCTGGAGGCCATTGTAAGTGAGACGGCTTCCCTGACTCCTTTGCAGTTAGGCTATGCATTTGCACGTGCTGACACTGTGCCCACGACTTCACAGAATCCCTGGATTGGCTCTAAGGTTTTGTGGACTCTTTGGGACTCTTTAAAGCTTATTTGTTTATTTACCGGGAGAGCCGGAGAGAGAGAAGCACCCTCAACAAGGCCCTGCGGTGGGTGTAGTCACCCAGGAACCACAGCCAGGCATCCGGCAGCTCCAGCAGCACGAGGTGGCGGCAGCTGGCCCTGCGGCTGGCCCTGCGGTCTCCACGTGTCAGATCGGGCCCCCACGCACGGAAATGATCGACCTTCTACTCCTGACCGGCTGCCTTTTTCCCTCCTGCTTGTCCGACTGCTCTCACAATAAATCCAGCTCCGAGTGGAGCAAACGCAGCAGAGTGGACCCCGCCTGGCATGGATCTCAGGGGAAAGAACACTTTCCAGTTTCCCACTGATCACAGTGTCCGCAGGGCGCTTCCTAAGCCACTGCTCTCTGGAGGAGCCCCACACCGCCTGAGCTGCAGGGCTTGCAGGAGTACGTGGCCCTGGTCTAGTGCTGTTCCCGTCAGTGTAGACAGTCCTGGATCCGTCCTGTCACTGGGAAGAACACAGTTCAGCAGTCTACATCCAGGTGTTCCCATCAGTGTAGACGGCCCTGGATCCGTCCTGTCACTGCGGAGAACACGGCTCAGGGTCCACATCCAGGTGTTCCCATCAGTGTAGACGGCCCTGGATCCGTCCTGTCACTGTGGAGAACACGGCTCAGCGGTCCAGGTGTTCCCGTCAGTGTAGACAGCCCTGGATCCATCCTGTCACTGCGGAGAACACAGCTCAGCGGTCCAGGTGTTCCCGTCAGTGTAGACAGCCCTGGTGCCAGAGAAGCCCTGCTGTGCTCTCATGGCCGTCACAGGCCTGCTGCCCGGGACATCAGACAGGCCCATCTGCCAGCGCTGTCACTGCTCCCAAGGACGTGGACAGGTGAATGTGAGCTCCCGTGGCTGACACACGTGTGACCTGTGCCTCGTCTAGGACAGGGCTGTGGGACCAACGAGCCCTCAGGGCTCAGTGATGGCCAAGCGAAGGGGTGAGAGCAAAGGGAGGCAGGGGTGGCAGGGAGTCCTACTGTCCAGCTGCACAGACACCACCAGTTCAGGAGGGGGTGCAGAGAGCAGCGCGGTGACCCCTCACAGCTGAGCTGGCAGTGCTGAGGCCCCGACCCGCGATGGGGGCGAGCAGAGACTGTGCTCAGAGGGTGGGCCCACTGGGCAGGCCTGAGCAAGGGGGCCCACCTGTGGAGAGTTCTGGAAGACGAGAGGAGCCCCTCAGATGCCGTGTAGACCACACTGAGGGTCAGACGGGGTCAAGGAGGAGTGTGGATGGGGGCGGGGCAAAGTAGCCAGAAGGCCGGGTAGCCACTCTAGAAAGCAGGAAGGGCTGCCAGAGCGGGGCTGCAGCCAGTCCTGAGAGCACAGCTCACCCCAGCACGGCCTAGCCCGTGACCGGTGCATGGCCAGGCGGAACCGCGGTAGCAGCAAACGGCGCAGCGGGAAAGGCGGCGGGCGCTCCAGCACCTCCGAGGGGTCTGGCGAGTGGGAGGAGGGCTAGGACAGGGTACGGTGTGAAGAGGAGGCGTCGGCGCCCATCTCAGGGGCGGTCAGGAGCCTGGGGTGGAGGTGGGAGCGAGGAGACCTGGTGGGAGTGGACGCGTTGTGCAGGGGAGGGCCGAGGCCTTGGCTGCCCTCGTTAGGGCAGACGAGGGGCCTGCGAGGCTCACCGAGAGCTGGGCTTCTCACTGGGGGCAAGGCCTGCGCTCGGTGAGTCTCAGCGCCATCGGTGAGTGGACTGAGCTCTGCCATCCGAGAGGGGCTGGGAGGGGGCATGGAGGCTAAGGTGCCGAATCCCACATGGCCTGGACCCAGCAGCCTGAGAATCACACCGGGCACGTGTGCATGTGTGCCTCGAATCCTGAGAGGAGAGTGGCAGGAGAGGGACTGCAGCGTGGCCATTGCCCTGGGGAGTGACCTCTCTCTCTCTCTCTCTCTCTCTCTCTCTCTCTCCCCCTCATGAGCATACATGCCCTATGACAAAAACCGGAAAAAATAAAAAGCAACATAATTTGTTTGGCTGCTGTTTAGAACAAACCAATGAAAAACTATCTTTAAGATGATCCGAAAGAATGACGACCTACTCTGGCAGGACGGCACCACGGCCAGGTAAGGAAATGCCCGTGTGCCCCAGGACACACACTGGCTCAGGCTAGGCGAGCGTGCAAGGTTTGGGATTCACGCCAGAGCTCCTCGGCAGAGGAGAAAAGAAAACGTCACACAGAACAAAATGAGTGAGGGCCTCCCCACCAGAGACTGCCGCCCGCAGGTAACAAGTGAGAGCCACGACTCTAACCCCCAGTGACGCCCAGTTCAGGAAAGCGGACACCAGTGCCCTCCCACTGACACCACAGCACCCACGCGGAGGCCGAGCCTCGAAGGCGGGCCAGCGTTGGCAGAGCGCGTGCTGAGCACCGGCCGCTCGGGGTCCCGCCCTCAGGTCCCTTGTACGGACTACTGTACTGACCGGCTCGCCTCTGACCCGCAGGCTTCGGACCTTCCTCTGTGACGACGCCGAGATTCAGGGGAGAGGTTGACAGGACGCCGGAGCTACAACAGAAACAGAACCGTGCGATGGCGGAGAGCAACCCAGGACGAGGTTGTCCCAGTGACGACCCGTGTCCAGGACATGGACAGACGCTCACTCCGAGCCATTACAGATGTGGCCGTGGTATCTGGACATGAAAGAGAGCCAGCTTATCCTCACCCTTGCCAGAAAGAAATGCTGGATTTTAATGAGGTGCCATTTTATCATTTACACTCCACCCTAAAATACGTAATGACCCGTGAGGTTTCAGAAGCTGGACAGAAGCAGAGGCGAGCACAGAGCGTCTTTCCCCAGGGCTACCCTGCCGGGCCCTGATGCTCAGCCCAAGAGTGCCCATGCCTGTCGCGCCCCTGGGAGAAGCCTACCTGGCCAGCACCGACAGGCTCCTTCCAGGGCCAGGGCCCCGCCAAGTCCGCAGCAGGGTGGCCGGGCTTATCTCCAACACAGCGATCTTCCCCCCAAACATGGAAGCAAGCAAGCAGAGCGCCTGCAGGACCAAGAGGGACGTGTGAGCACCGTCCTAGGGAGGGCCTTCCCCATGTGCATCCCTGACCCGGACCACTTCAGGCCACAGCAGCCACAGGACCACAGGAGCAGGGGAGGCCACAGTGCGGACTCACTGGCTGGGGGGGGCGCCCCCCCCCCC